GAAGAAAATGCGATAATTAGCAATGATGCGAATGAATTCAATATGGAACAGAATCCTGTTGTTGGTTATAGTGAAGAACCTCTGTTACCATTGGTTAAGGCATGTGCTCCACTATCTAACATTCTACATGATTTATCGACCTATGTTGAAATAGCACTAAATGAAACTCCAGAAGTTCCACCTGATGAACTAACAATTGATGAAAGTGCTGCCATTCGACTCTATACAATTGAGTGGGAACGACCACATCGAAGTCTCTATTCGATGCTCAACTATACTTTGAAAATGGCAGATCGTGAAGCACTTCGACCTTATTTTAAATATCTCAAATTATTTTTGACTGCTCTCGTCAAAATACCATGCGTGCCACCATTGACTGTCTGGCGAGGAGTAACTAAAAACTTAAGTGAAGAATTTCCACCTGGTACTGTAGTCACATGGTGGTCATTTTCATCATGTACAACATCATTGACTGTACTTGAAAATAATATGTATTTGGGTTACACAGGAGATCGAACTCTCTTCTCAGTCGAAGTCATTAATGGTAGAATAATACGTCCTCATTCACATTTCATTACTGAAGATGAAATTCTTCTTCTACCTGGTACTCATATGGTAGTTCAATCTCAATTGAATCCAGCACCTGATCTTTATATAGTTCATTTAAAACAAATTATACCAGAAGAAACACTTCTAGAACCACCTTTCGAAGGTATTTTCAAGCTATTCAATTTTTATCCAAAGAAATTTTTCTTTTGTCTTTTAGGTGCAGAACTCTATCCAAAAATTAAGTAAGTAAAATATTGTATCTATCTAATTCTTTTTTTTTGATAAATCTTTTTTTTTTATCCTATTTTTAAGAAAACACTGGTATCGAAAGAAGAGATTCATAATTCCAATCACTTTCATGGTGGCTTTAGTTATTGCAGCAGCTATAATTGGTGCTATTGTTGGAATGAGATCTGCCGTGAAAAAAGGTAAATTTTGGATGATATTCAAACTAGAAGTTAAACGATTACTTTGAGGAAGTACGTACTTAGATTATGGAGTGTATCAAAGTACATTTTAACAAATGAGTAAAGTAAAAATGAAACACTGTATTTGCATGGTACAAGCTACTTGAGTTCTGTGTAAATTTTGAGAAAAAAGGCACTTCACTTGAAAAAAATGGGAGACTGATGCTCTACAGAATTATTCTTCATGTATATAGCCATACACCACCTTCTCTAACACATTCGAGATGATGAGACCCACCGATGGGTCTCACTATTTTTAAGAAGTCACTTCTAACAAAAAAAAGGTACTTTTCGCTTTTTCATCAAACAAGGAGTTGTATCGAATTCAGGTTTCGCTGTCTTCGGTTTTTGAATCATTAATTGAGTGAGATGGTGCTTCTCATTAAGACAATCAAAACAATAAAATCTGTTGTAGTCAGAACAAAAGGTCCTTCTCTTCTTTGCCGCCGTCAGCCTTGCTTATCTGAAGTTTTCTTGTCTAATTTTTCTCACAGCAGCCAGCAAAGTATCTACGAACATTGCCAGTAGACCTTTCCTATTCTTCGTAGTCGTAATCTGCTAGTAAACGTTTCGAACAGCTTCTTAGTTATTGTTTCAGACCAGTTTTCAGATTCTCAGATAGGACACAATAAGTACACATTGCACAAAACTCTTACGAAACGGAAGGATGGTTACGCTGCCTGTTGTATTGTTTTTCTTGCATACCAAACAGCTGTTCACTGCTGTCCAAAATATCGATTCAAATGTCATATTTTGATATCATTTTATTGAACAGTTTAGAGATCGGTAATGCGCTCACAACTGATTCGACAAATATGTGCTTTTTCTTCTATTATTGTAATCGAGCAGAACTTGTGGGTTTATTATGTATTCGTTAAATAGGATAGTTTTTCTGATGTTCACGACAGCTATTGTAGGAATGCCTTGGTGGGTATACGCAAACCCTTTCTTCTAGCTCTCACTTGATCAACTTGAGACCATCGCCTTTCTAGAATTTTCTCGAAATACTTATTTTTCCGGATCCGACACGATGTGTTAGAAGTTTAATCTTAATGAGAACGAATACCTCGATTGACTCTTGTACGAAAACTGAATCGTCTCGAATATGTTCAAGGATAAGATTTTAAGAGGTCGTGACAATAAGATCTGTGAATTTTGCCGCAGGTTAACCATAAACCTCTCCATCCTCAAAGAAAGGTTGAACAGCTAAATACACGATGAATAATTCTAAAAGCTTCAAAATACTCGCTAGACCTTCTCCTATCCTCGAAAAAAGGAGTTGTATAGTCATATGAAAGAGGGAACAGTGCTCTAGAAGGTGTGGCTCATTGTGATCAGTGAAAACTTTAGTATAGTCTGCGTTCTTTCGCAATGTTTAGTCTAAATGGATTTCGGGTGCTAGGATTTTTAAAGAATATAGCTGATTTCTTCAAATCATTATGTGGTTACAGATAAAATGTAAACAGAGTATGATTTTTTTTAAGATTCTCTTCTCTACTCCTTCAAAAATGGAGGTTAGCTCAGGCACGTAGTAATGACCCAAAAATTAGAGGATATATTGGGGCTGATGTAGAGAAGCTATGGTAAAATTATCAGGCCGAAATCATGAGTTTTAAGGAAGATATTGACCAAACACAGATGAACAATAAATGATTTGGCATCCTAAATTTCTCGGCCCAGACATGTCCAATATGTTTGCATCCTTTTTGTATGAAAGAGCATGGCAAGATAGAGGGCATGACAACGTTTGATTTTTTTTTAAATATTCAATTTTCCGCTTCAAAAAAAGAATCAAAAGTTGGATGAGTACAAAACCCTCGAAAAATCGCCGTCAATATATATAAATGTCTATGTATGTATTAAAAAAGATCTAATTGACAAAGTCGGTATGGTCGTGTTCTATATCTTTACCTGCTCTTTCAAACAAAAAGAAACTGAAATTGAACGCGTCTGTACCGAGTAATTTGGGGGTGCACGTTTGAGAACGTGAAACATGAGGAAAAAAAGAAAAAAGAGTTTTGAAAAGCAGGCCTCGGAAATTTTGAAAATGTTTTGGAAAAATTAGGCATCGAGGGAAAGTTTTATAGTTTATTAAAGAGCAGGTGATGGGCTTCCTACCTATGTCTTTATCTCAGTTTTGACTATTCTGACAAAAAATTAATTTTTTCAGCAATAGAGCGTTAGTCTAGACTAAGGTCGTCTTTTTTTTTAAGTTCTACTGACCATTTTTTCAATAACTTTTCAAGGATTCGATTTATAGAGATCGGATTTTCACCATTAGAAAGAGCGATGTTAAAACGTCAATGTGTATAAAATTTATTAGGTTCAAGAGTCTTTTCTATAGTCGTTTTTTAGATTGATTCTTTTTTGTTTTGTTTTTTATGTATTTTTGTGAGAAACCAACATCAAATTAGACAAAAATACAGCCCGAATCTTCCTATATTTCCCGTTAAGTTTTCATATTTTGATACCAAAGTGTAAGGAAAAAACGGAAAGATTTGGAAATTTTAGCATACGTACAAAAAGGTTAGTGCTATATTTTGGTCTAATTTGACGTTAGCTTCTCACGAAAATACATTGAAAACACAGCAAAAAACATCTAAAAATGACTATAGAAAAGAGTCTTGAACCTAACGAATTTTATACACATTGACGTTTCCACATCGCTCTTTCTAATGGTGAAAACTCTATCTCCATACACTGTGAAAAAAATTCGTAAAATAATAAGCCCTTTGAAAAGAATTTATTAAATTCCTAAACCCTTCACCGTATATTGATAAACCCTTTTATCGTTTATTGTCAATTTCCTTAACCCTTCAAAAGGGTTTATGATACGTTGCACTTTGCTAGACCCGTAAGGATTTATGAGCGAAAAAATGGTTTATGAGATTTAATAAACCCTTAGGTATTTAGGAAAGTGCAACGTGTCATAAACCCTTTTTAAGGGTTTAGGAAGCTAGATAAACTCTAAAAGGATTTATCAATATAAGATGAAGGATTCAGAAATTTAATAAACCCTTTTCATAGGGTTTATTAGTCTACGAATTTTTTTTACAGTGTAGGTTGAATCCTTGAAAAATTTATTCAAAAAATAGTCTGTGATACTTCAAAAATGTACGACATTGATTCGTATAAACATCGAAGGTTCAGACAAGTATATATTGGGAGAAAGCTTGAAAATAATACTAAACATCATTGTTTGAGGAATAGATTTTATTATGAAAAGGACATATCGGTTATTTATTTCGCAAGAAAATAAGTATATGACACTCTGACTTAAAAAGAATATGTAAGTTCTAGTCTATTATATTGCTATTATATAAATATCGTCTACAAAAATTAATACTGAGTAATATAGTTTCCTTATCCATTTACTTTCTCAAGAAGTAAATTACTTATAGGGCATGTATCTCATTTGCCTCGATATACAATATCGACGATAATAGATTACTACTAATTCACTCAACCTATAGAAGAAGATTATCCGATTTGTAGTTCAACTTATTTCTTTCAAAAATCAAAACTTTGCTTTGTCTATGAATATTACATTAGACCTCTTGCACATTTTACATTGGCTAGATATCATAATGTTTCGGAAGATATATATGGATGTTTACTCGTAGTACACTTCAATTTCTTTTGTTTCATTTCTTTTGATTAGAGCTTTGCTGGAATCCTTATGGAGCTTCGACAAGTTATAAAACTGGCACCGCTCCTGTTTCTCTAGCGTTGGGACATTTGAGAAATAATGAAGAAATAGATATCGTTGTAGCCAACCAGCAAGATAATGACATTGGTTTACTTATAAGTCAGGGAAATGGAACGTTTCAAATTCAAGTCAAATATCCCACAGGACCGTTGCCTATGTGTGTGATATCAGATGATTTCAACAACGATAATGCGCTGGACCTTGTAGTGGCCAATCAAGGAGCCGACTCTATCACTCTTCTCTTAGGCTACGGTAACGGTACGTTTCGGAGTCCAATGAAGCACCGTGTTGGTCGTCAACCATACTACATAGCAGCAGCTGATTTCAATAGTGATAGAAAACTCGATCTAGCAGTAGTTAACTGGGGTGAAAACACCGTCAGTATACTGCACGGCAATGGCGATGGAACTTTTCGAACACAAATAAAGTATGCAACTGGCAACAGTCCGATGGTTGTCATATCAGCTGATTTCAACAATGATAATAAAATGGATGTCGTAGTGGCAAATTATGGTGAAAATACTATTAGCCTACTACTTGGTCATGGGAATGGAAGTTTTGACAATCAGCAGCTTTATCAATGTGGTGCCAATCCATATAGTCTAGCTACAGGTGACTTTGATAATGACACAATGATAGATTTGGTAGTGGTGGTCTCAAATGACAATACTGTTGGCTTGTTGTTGAGTAATGGCGATGGTACATTTCAAGCTCCCAAAAGCTATTCGGCTGGTGGGAGTCCAACTTCTGTGACAGCCGGTGATTTTAATCATGATGATAACTTAGATATAGCTGTCGCTAGCTTCGTTGAAAATACTGTCAGTGTTCTGTTAGGTAATGGAGATGGAACCTTTCAGCCTCAAGTTAGGTATGGAATCGGTGGTAGTCCACAGGGTCTGATATCAGCTGATTTCAACAATGATAGCATATTGGATCTAGCAGCGGCTAATCAAGGTGAGACCACTGTTAGTGTGTTACTCGGAAATGGAAACGGAACGTTTCAAACACAAGTAAAATATGCCAGTGGGAATGGTCCAACTTCTTTGATTTCAGGTGACTTCAACAAAGATAAACAACCAGATTTGGCAGTGGCTAATGCATACGAATATACTGTCACAGTGCTCCTTGGTCAGTCTGATGGAACATTTTACACCCAAACTCAATTCGCGACTGGTACAAGACCATCTTCTGTTACATTAAATTATTTTAATAGTGATAGAATCGTCGATGTAGTTGTTGCTAATCAAGATGACAATACTATCAGTCTACTACTTGGTAAAGGAAATGGAATGTTTGAAACACAAATTAAGTATGCAACTGGCAAGAATCCATCTTGTGTCATATCAATTGATTTGAATCATGATCATAGTTTAGACGTAATAGTGACTAACTTCGGTGACAATACTGTTAGTGTGTTTCTTGGTAATGGAAATGGAACGTTTCAGACTGCAAAAAGCTATGCTGTTGGTAATAATCCTATATATATAGTATGTGAGGATTTCAATATTGATAGCATAATGGACCTAGCAGTGGTAAACTTTGGTGAAGATACAGTAAGCGTAATATTGGGTACTCAAAATGGAACCTTTATAACGCAAGCGAAGTATAAGACTGGTAGGAGTCCATATTCTATAGCTTTAGGTGATTTCAATGGTGATTATAAGCAAGATCTGATAGTGGCTAACTCTGGTGAAAACACAATTAGTGTGTTGTTTTCTAATGCAGATGGAACTTTTGGAAACTCAATTACTTATATCGTTGGTATCAGTCCAGTTTCTGTGATATCTGGTGACTTCAATAACGATAAAAA